GTATGCACATTTCTGTGGTCAAGAAGTAGCCAATGGACCAGCTGTATACTCTCAAAATGCCTTAACCAATTCTTTTCTCTGTCTCAACCATCTCACCAGCCCTCTGTACACTGACATCTTGCAGATGCCATCAGTTTAAAATGGAGACCCTTTCAAGTCAATGCCATTAGGGAAACGAAAAGAGAGTTTCTGATATTCCTATTAATGCCCCTGACTGAATCTACTTATATTTCAGAATTTTTTATGGGAAAGAAGTACAAGTTCAGTGTTTTGATGGGTTTCTCCATAGAGGAGCATCTCCTAAACATAAGGTAAAGGACACACCTGTCCTTTCACCCTTTCATCAGCTTACTCCTTCTAGGGTTTCTGGTTCAGCGCCGCTCTCTGAGTTATCATTTCTCCCATCCCCTAAACATGGTTTCATACCACCACTCAGCTTTAATCTCTGAAACTCCGTGATGGTCCCTGAAAACAGCGCTCTCACTTGCTTTGTTTAAATATCCCACACACTCTGCTCTAAGTACTGGTAGCGACCCACTGAAGTGAATGATTCATTTTCAACTGAAGAAGATTGCTGAAGAAAAGCGGATGCTCCATCTAACTGCTCTTTTGGAAAGGCCAAGTGAAAGTTCTTATTATAAAGACTCACACTTTAATGGGAGTTTTGCTTAAAGTTCTCTCAGAAATCCCTTACATTTTCAAGAACTGGGACAACCCCGGTTTGTTTAGTCAGATGGTGCACAGCTGTTGACTTTATTTTTTGATATATGAAAATGAAGAGATCTGTTCCTTTTCACAAAAGTATTAAATCATCTCTGATCTTCCAAGGAATGCTATCAGGAAAAAATATTAAAAAGGGTTAATGGCTCACTCCAGGAATTACTTGGGAAATTCTGTTTCCCACATTAAGACACATTGCTTTCTCTGAACTCAACTGCCAACCCATAGAAGGTGTCTCACTGCTTGAAAGAGACCCTGAATTTCAGAAAGGCGAATGTGCAAACTTGTGAAACCCTAGAGTATGTCAAGATTAACTCCACACAAAAACAAAGGTCTGCCCGTACTGACAAGTGTAAGAACAAATTCCACACAAGCCACTCAAAATCTAACTGCAAATTCCCAAGAATAAAAGGTTTGACGCTCCACTCCAATGATAATGCAAGTGATGTCAAGATACTGAATGTCCAAGGAATTAGACAGCATATTTTAAAATTCTATTAATCTGTTTGTGTTAGGAGGTGATACTGGCTCCTGAAAAACAAAAATTCCCTACGATGAAATCCTTGACCTTCTTTTACGTCTCTCCCTCTACTTAGGCTACAGTCCTCTTTACTTCAAAAGGGAAAGAGGCTTTTCAGGGAATTTGGCTTGAAAAAGTTTGGGGCAGACATGGAAAAAATGAACCCAAGTAAATTTGTGACTCCAAAAGACACCATTTGGAAACACACAATAGCGTAATATTTGCATAGCTGTAAACAGTGACTCTCTAAAGTTTAGAAAGACATTTCTTCTTGACAGTCACCAGAAACAGGTGGCAAGTGACGGATCTGATGGCACTGTGATTCCCTTGGGAGGATAATTTTATACTGAAGGATCTGGAATTCAGATTTTCTTTGCTAGGTGAAGAGAAAACATTCTTTTAGGTAAATTGCCAGATCAAGAACTTCAACCTGCCTTAAGGAGTCTCCAACTGTCATTCAGGGCATTTGGCTGATCATGCAGCAGTAAAATCTATTTCTGAAAAATAAAGAGATTATAGCTTTAAGATGTGTTCTATTCTAGAAGACAAAGGAGAAAATGCAGGTCACTGGCTAATAGTGATTTGCACAGGACTCTGCACAGCTCAGAGGGTGCAATATTGATGGATGTGAGACCAGTTACATGGCTGTTCTGGTCCCATAGACAAGCAGGAAATCTTCCACCAGAGACTTTGTGGTTTTTTGTTTTGTTTTGTTTTGTTTTGTTTTGGTTTGTTTTGGTTTGGTTTGGTTTGGTTTGGTTTGGTTTGGTTTGGTTTGGTTTTGAGACAGGGTCTTGCTATGCAGCTCAGGCTGGCCTTGAGCTCACTTTGTGGCCCAGGCTGGTCTCGAACTCGCAACGCTCCTCCTGCCTCAGCCTCCCGAGTGCTGGGATTACAGGTGCGTGCCACTACACCCAGCTCACCAGAGACTTTGGCACCTGAAAAATCAACCATGGCTGGAAACCCAAGATCACCTCAGATGGAGCCATTCTGTAGAGGCCCCTTGAAATACAAATTTACTGATGATTTGAAAAGAAGAGTATTCCTCTAACTTTAGGAACAGTGCATGAGGGGTCTGCAAGAATCTTCAATCATAGTGAGAATGAGGCATTCTAAGGCTACTGACCTCAAAGTACTATCTCTTACTTCCTGAAGAAAGTAGACAGATCCACAAGGTAATGAATTCCAACATATTAAGAACTATATCTGCCTTGTACTTCTGAGGTGAGCTTGGTCTCTGAAATTGCCAAATCTTACTATAGTTCAGGGAACAGGGAAACTGTTAAATTATTAATGTCTGGGTTCATGACTCTCCTTAGATGTGAATCATACTCCAAAGAGAAATAAAAACCCTAAGAGCCAAGGATACAGTTAACAACTAAAAGAATGTGACTTTTTATTTCCAAATTGAAGTAAGTTTTCTAGGTGATTGCATAGAAATAGTAAAAGAAAATACTTAGTTTGTCTGCAGATAACGGTTCCATTACCATCCAGAATAATTAAGACTTATCTGAGGAAATGAACAGGCGACTTTCAGGGACCAAAACAGTCCCTGTCCCTTCTAAATTCATTTTCCTACGCCCATCCTCCTCATCTGCCTTAAACAACTAAACTATATATTCACTAAATGGAAAAATTCTACTCATCATTAATTGATGGGATTTTGTTGATCTAAGACAGACATTGGCAAACTATGGCCTCTGGGCCAAATCTGGCCTATTAATTGGTTTTGTAAATAAAGTCTGGTTGGAACATCTCCATGTTTATTCATTTACAAGTTATTTATGGAAGCATTCACAGTACAACAGGAGACTTGAGTAGCTGCAGCAAATACTACATAAAATACAAAGCCAAAAATATTTACTATTTGGCCCTTTATAGAAAGTTCATCAACTCTGATCTAGGATTCACCATCTACATGCTAGAGAACAGAATTATCTACCTGGTGGGTTTACAAGCACAACACCCTCCCAATAAAGAAACGTTTGCAAATGATATGGTTTCTGTATGAAGTACACTACCCTAGGAGAAAAATCCTAGCTTTCAACAGATTTCAGAAGGAATCTAGAGCACCCTAATTAAAGCCAAAGAAAACCAAGGAATATCTGTCGCTGTAAGCACTTTTAACAGTGCTAAAACACACACACACCCCTAGAAAAGATGAACATAAAGCTTTTAGAATATCAATTTTCTATTGATCAAATTTGGTGGCTTTCTCCTCCTAGATTTCACACAGGTATTTTTCTTTCTAAATATAAGTTTTCAGGGTCTAAGTGACAAGTGAACTTTTCATTTGAAAACGGGGAGGTGGAGTCCCATGAAGGTGAGATTTATTTGAATATATTTCACTTGTATTGAATTGAATAAAAGTGAAAGAACTGTTGACCCGGCAAAGTCATGTTAAGAAGGCCCAAATCCCAGCACAATAGAAGTTTAACTCATTTTGCTAGATCTAAATACCAGCTCTGATGAATTTTATGAATATATAAATCTTACCAACAAGGTCAGAGGGAGTTACATAAAAAAAAAATTGAGTGAGAAATTAGGAACTAGGTATCCATTGTACTTTCAGGCCAAAGACAAAATGTTTTTGTTAGATACTTTTCAGAGAAACAGAATACTTTCTCTGAGCACTGCTAATGAACCCTCTTGCTAGTGTTAAACCATAAAATATCAGCCTCTCTCTGCCTCCCTTGTAATCATAGTACAAAGACATTAAATCAAATTCACTTGCAGAAATCATGAATCCTATTCGTTTTGCACTAACCTCCTCTAGCACTGGGTTTTATAAGTATTTCATTTTCTATATTATGACCATTGGCAATGTGGTGTGAGGAATAGCAAAGACCATAGGATATCCTTTAAGAAATGAATTAACCAGAGAAAGGCAAAAACAATGCTAACAATGACAACAAAACCAACAGTAAAAGCATATAGAGGGTTGAACAACCAAGAGTTCAATTTTGAGGGTCACTAACTGTAGAGCAAACATCAGCACAGCATATATCAATGGTCCCAAAACTGTACATTGAAATATGCTAAGAGAGCACTGCAAATTCTCAGGTACAGGAAGATACCGCAAATTCTTAAGGGAAGCACTGGGACATCCAAAGGATGTGATACAAACTACTACTGTTAAACTCCTTGAACCTCATTCCTTGATACACTGAATGACCATGTTGACCTAGGGCACCGCAAAAAAAATCACCAAGACAACTAATGGCACCATAAACAGAAAAAGTGTGGGAAACTCTGTCATATACTGCGTAGTATTTGTGAGGTTTGGAAGATATACGAAACTATAAAATGCAAACCATTTTGAGCTATACCACACATTTCCCTTCCACTTCAAATGGCCTAACCAAGATAAAAGCTGCTTATTTAACCAATTGTTCTGATTTTGTCAGAATAGCCAGAGTCTTTGAAACAATAGATTATTTCTCCACCTAAGGCATTCAGTCATGGCTAATAGATAGGTATCTTATGCAAAATGGACGATTATCTTGATAATTTATCAATATACACATCAATATGACTTTTTTCTCCCTCAAAGAAGTCATTTGGGGAGATGGAACAAAGTTTCCTTTGCTTAAAACAAGCATACAACTTTGAGCATGCTGAGTATATATCATTTGAAATTATCTCTTAAGCCCAGGAAATATTTTACAAAGAGATGGTAAAATTTCAACTCTGAGGGCAGATTTAGCTTGTAGAAACTGCCAAATATAATTTCCTATTAATTTGATAAACCAGGCGTGAGTCAAGCTGGACACAAACTACTAAGGACTTTTATTAAAAAAAAAGAAGAAGAAACTAAAGAGAAATTCTAAGATGATGATTACACATGTAGGGGAAAGAATAGACTTCTGAAAGAGAAGGGGCAAAAATATTTTAGTAAAATTATTCATATAAATAATCTCTTAAGGTAGCTTCTCTCAAGAGCAATACTCACCGATACACATACATACAGTAATCATCTTCAAAATCCTTCACATTATGTTCTTGGCACATCTCTTAAATCAATAATATATAGAAAGAGGTGGATTTTTTATAAATATAAAGGAAAGTTATACCATGGACAATTATATGATACCAAATCAAATACATTTGGAAAAATAAGCATGATCCCTAAAGTAGAGCTACATTGATTTTGTAATACATTGGTAGAGCCAGGGCTGATAATCAGATGGTCCATGGTGGCAGAGAATTAAACACTCCATCATTATTCCTGAATGCTGATTTTTCTTTATATATACATATCTGTCTGTATGTACAGGAGACTTTCAACTTACACATAATTGATGTACCTTGGTTTTGTTAAGATTACAATACCGTAGCACAGTTCTTTAGAAACAAAACCATGTTTTAAAATTTAGATTTCTGGGGCTGGGGGTTTAGCTCAGTGGCACAGCTTCTGCCCGGCAAGCGCAAGGTCATGAGTTCAATTCCCGGTACCAGAAAAAAAACAAAACAAAACAAAAGATAAAATTTAGATTTCTAAGGCTATCAAGCCATTACATCTTAGTACATAAGATACTTAGTCATCAAGTGGAATATTGTTTCTCTGGGGAAAAGGTATTTCAATTTTCCAATCAGTATCCCAGGAACATGCCCTCTCTGATAGTGATAAAGATAACGCAAAAGAAATAGGAGCTCTTGTTCTTCTACAGTCACTTATTGTTCTCTGAAAATATTTAAGAGAAAGTAATTTCCAGTCACTTCTCTTCTTAAAAAGTCCAATGCAATGTTCTGACTTCAGAATCACAGGAGGATTGTTAAAGAAAAAATAAAGTACCAGTTCCTAGGCCCTAGCTTGGACCAATTAGATGAAAGTCCCCAGTGGTTAAGGCTTTAATGTGACAGTGCTCACAAGCTCCTACATGCTTCCAAAGTGCACCAATGTGGAGAACCTTAGACCAACTTTTTCCTTACTATGAATGTTTTTCAAGTTCAGACCCTGGACTCACCAACTAAACAGACATACCAATAAAAAATACACTCTTCCTTAAGAATATTTCAAAGTATAAAAACAGTGGGAGTAAACTGACTCAGACCAGAAAGATGATTTACTTTAGTAGTTTATCAGATCTGTTATGGATTGACCCCAGATTTTTCTCCCAATACTTTCCGTTTTCAGAAAATGAGTAAATAGAGCAGGAGTACAGCTGTGATTTTTTCTTACCTCAAAGAGAGGAACTTCCAGATGTAAGAAGGTGGGGGAGAAATTGCAGGGCTATAATCACAAGGTCAGGACCCCTGCTCTGGCTAAAAGCACATGAAGATAGGACATGGAGCTGCTATTTAATCAAATGGATATCTGTCAGAGCAGAACATGAAGAAGTGTCATACTCACTCTGGGCAACTTCCATGAGCACAATGCCAAGAATAAGATAGAAGAAAATCCAGAGAAAAATAAACTACTGCATTTCAAAATGTGATAGGGGAAGGCAGGGAAGAAAAGGGAGTAGTCCTCTCCACAATGGAGAATTTGAGGCAAGGAAAGAAATAGTGTGGCTTTTTTTTTTCTTTTAAATAAACATCCCCCATCTTTGTACTCCCAGTGTAGCCCTGATAAACACGATGTCCAAAAGCAATAGTTCCTGGTTATTTAGGATAGGTCTGTATTTTCTCTATCATTTCACTCCTTGATCATAAAAGAAGAAAAAGCCCCAAATCAGAGAACCTGTAGTTGTTTTAATCCACACAAAAAATTTGGCTATGTAGTTAACCTACTAGGAATTCAGGATGGAGTTTGCTATTGCATGCTACTGAGGAAAGACATAGCCTCAACTCATCCCGTGGAAATCTGGTAGTCTGTTCCTAAGGATTAATTAAACCTTCCCCTTTATCTTTTCATATTGTCAAAGAACTACTAACTGGCTTTAATTTTCTTCTCTTCCAGTAGTAGTAAGGCTTCTTCATGGAATAAGAATACAAACAAAGCAAAAGAGTACATCAATTATGAAGGCAATCCTTGGGTCTTAACCAATGCAGGAGGGACAAAAGCAGAAGGCACCAATTCTCTCTGTGGTTTACCATATCTCTCCCCTTACGTTGGACAAATGTCCTTTCCACTAAATATAGATATTCATAAAAGCCAGTTGGCAGAACACACACACACACACACACACAGATGTGGATACGTGGGTAGATATAAAATCACATCACAAATCACTTTCCACTAATACTATACCACAAATGTCAAGAGAACCAAATTTTTCATCTTTGAACTGTGATAAAAATGATTTTTATGTTTCCCACAGGTGAGGAAAGGGTTAGAAGCAAGATATTTTGACATTTCGGGTAGAACACATGATGATCACCCAGGACTGAGTTACGTTGTGAGCACGGCAGCAGCCACAACTGGAAGAGACATTTCACAAGAAGAGCTCCTTTTTGAGATTTTTATAATATTCTTAAAGATGCATATTAAATTATTTCTTCTGGAACACAGACACGATCAAACTTAAAAAATAAAAGCCCTATAAATATCGCCAACCCAACCCTCTTCTGTATCTCCCTTCTTGCATAAAATGGAATCTTTCCAACCAAGCACTTAAACATAAATATTAAAATAATAAATGGGATGAACTACAAATCTACTTACAATTTCATCACTACTGTAGCACCTTTTTGCCAGGGCCAACGTGTTCATTTTGTAAAGAACAAGAGAAATCGGAGAAGCTTAAGGACTTATATGGCACGTCATTAAATATTTAATCACCTTTTTAAGTCCTAAGCCTTTATCATATTTCATCCTTCTAGAGAGTTCATTCTATACTATAGATTCCAAGGCCCCCTGAGGAGGGGGATAAGAAAAAAATAGGGAGAGAAAACCCTCAGAGAGACAGGGTTAAATTATCTCAAAGATGACTTTCTATTGGCGCTGTAGTGAACTTGCTTCACCCTGTAAATCCATCAATCCACAGTAGGGTCAATCAGTTAAGTCCATTGCTTTTTAGTCTCCAAGAATCAGTTTTACAAAAGACGCCACATCTGTTGCTTTGGATTCATGTAGGGTGAAAAATGGATGTTGCTGTGAAAGAAAAGAAAATATATAGCATTAATATTTCTCACTGATAGCATCTGAGATCTCCAAATTAATACCTCATTTAAAAATGGATTAATATCTCCATCAGCAGCTAACTGGATTCCTCTTACCGTTCCAAAATATGCACATAGCTAGCAATGCAGGTATTTTAAAGATATATCTTTGTTGCCACCTTCTCCTTTTGAAAGCCCTAGATTTCTACTACAAAGAACCTCTTGCTTTTTTTAAAAAAGTAAATATGTTATCTAAATCCTACCTGCAGTGAAATACAAAGATTGGCAGAAACCATACAAAGCTTTGACATACCCTACAAAGCATTTTCGATTATTATAGGAGTCAGATAATTATGATTGAAACCTCCACAAACTCTGACGTTAATAAACCTTTCCCTCTTAAAAAAAAAAAAAAAAAGAACAAATAATTAGAAATTCATTAGATTTAGGTCATCTCTTTTCTCAGGAAAAGCATGGTAGAATAAGACACCAAGTTTGTCGAATAGTAAATGTGAATGGAAGACATCTTTGTCCTTGACATTGGACAGCTTGTTTGGATTGAAACATTTAAAGCCATTTTCTAAGTCACAGCCAAGAGTTATGTGTGTCTTGATAAAGAGCTGATCCATCTGGAAAATAATGCAGACTGCCAAAGAATAGGTATGTGGAGAAAAAAATTCAACTCAGAGATTAAAGATTGAAAAAAGGAAAACTGGTCTTTATACATGCAGCTCAGGTAAAATAAACTAAACAGCAAAAAAAAAGGAAACAAGAGTCTTGCACTTTGCTGGGGGAAGAGGCGAGGTAGGACGCAAGAGACCATGTATTTCAAAACAATTCAGAAGAACACTAAGCCAGCTTCTCTGTCCCAAAACAGTCTTCCTAAATCACTCAACTGTGTTATGATAAGTACCAAGCTGTTACCTTGGAACCGTCCATCCCTCATTAGAAAGAGACACACCAGATCAAGATCCATACTTCTCATGCCAAACCAGAACCAATCAAACACAAATGGACAGTTCCTTCCACTAGAACCTGATGCCACGTACCCGGCTCTCCCACCACACCCACGTCCCTGATTGTCTGGAAACACTATTTCCAAGGGCGATTTGAGCAGTTCATTGTGGGTATTTTGCATGCAGACATGTAGATGACTCACTCTGTTTCCCTGACTTAAGGGATTTAGTTTACGATCTCATGTTGCCTCGCTGTAGATTTTCTAATTATATTTGTTTTAAACCTGACAGCAGAGCGCCGGATGAGTCAGCTCTGTGGGGACACGGATGCCCACCCATGGAAGTTTGAAGAAACAGTATAATACAGATGGAACAAGGAAATAAAACCCAAAAGAAAGGAGGTGGTCGCTGCTAAGGACCGTGACTCAAGAAGATTTGTGCTTTTTCCTATCTGAGGACGCAGGTTGGGTGGTGGCGCGAAGCCTTTCACCCAGGACTTTAACTGGATTTCTACAGGCAAAATCCCTCATCCTGAGCTCTTTCAACTGCCAAATACAACACGACTTTTGATTACTAACCACTTACATAGCTCACTCACCAAGTGTTTTACCATCATCATTATTAAGCTTTCCCGTGTCCTCTTGGAATCTGGGGATCGTTTAATGTACTTTAAAGCTTTTTACTATCAAAACAGGACACACCCAACTTCAGGTTGTCTTGCAGGCTGCTTCGGCCCCGCCTGGCCTCTTGTCCTGCTGCTGTTATCTCAGTGGACGCAGGCTGAGTTTATGAATGAATTAAATAACTTGAAGAAAAGTTCTCAATTAAAAGAAATCTTGAGGTACCTTTTAGTTTATTCCCAGGCTGGTATACGGAACGAGAGCCAGAAGGCAGAGAGAGAAAAAAGTAGACAGGCAAGTCACAGCTGAAAATGTGATTTACCTTCTCCTGGGAGATTTGAGGCTGCAAAAGGCTGAGAGGGAAGCCAACCCCCTCTCCAAGCTGTGCACTAGGAACAACAAAGACAGTAACCTGGAGATGACCAAGTGAGATGCCATGAATAATCTCCAGGTCCAGGCTCCGCAAGGAGGAGTCAGGTACAAAAATGTAGAACACTGAACCATGCAGATTCGCTGTCAGGCCTGAAGGAAGTGTAGAGATGCATGGACATGCTGCCACAGGAGAGAGGCAAACCACAAGCACCGACAGGTCTCCATGGCCCATGTAAGACACCCCATCCCTTGAGACTGCAGTGTTCTGTAGGCTCAGGCACCTTTGTTTCACACTGCAATTCAATCTGGAACTTCCTCAGATATTTGAAGAACATTATTATCTCTCCTGGAAATCACTTGAACGAACTGGTTAACCTTCCTGGCAGTTGTCATGCAGAAGGGAGGCCCACAGAACATGTCTAACCCACTGCCCACCACCTGATATTTCAATACATTTTTATCGGAACATAGCCACATATGCAGATATTGAATATGGCTTCCTTCCTACACTATAACAGCAGCAGGTTTCAGCAGTAACCATAACTGCAGGGCCACAAAGCCTAAAATCATCTAGACCTTTTTTTTTTTTAAGTTAGCTAATACCTACTCCAAAAGACCAAATCCTACAGACTCACTCTTCCCAGAAGAAATTTAGGAGAATAAGCAAATAAGACCATCCTAAAGCACATATAGCCCTCAATCCAATGGGGAGAAAAAATTATCAGGAATTTCTAGAAGAGATACCTGTCTGAGATGGAGCCTTAGTTATACTGTACTGTTCCTTCCTACCTTTTTGTGAACTTCTAAAATTTAAACAATAGCTTCTAACCCTAATACTGAAGTCAGGGAGTGTGGGCTCAGATTTTCTATCTAAAAACCTCAGTTCTCAGGAAAGCATGGAATATTAGGGTCTTAAAAGTCAGGCCCATTTCCAGTACCACAAAGACCGATGCCATAGTAGAGGCCAGGGAAACCCAGCACAATCTTACAACAATAATATGTATGATGATAGCCGTTCTTTTGAGGGTGAGAGGCAATCTCAGTGTTGTTTTAATTTGCATTTCTCGAATGACCAGTGATGTTAAACATTTTTTCATATATTTATTTGCCATTTGTATTTCTTCATCTGAGAAGTGTGTGTTCATCTCAGATGCCCATTTTTGGATTGGGTCTTTGAATTTTGGAAGCCTGATTTTTTTCAATTCTTTATATGTTCTAGATGAAAGTCCTTTGTTTGAGGGGCAGTTGGCTAAATATTTTTCCCATTTCATGGGTGTTTTTTTTTTTTTTCACTCTGTTGGTGATTTCTTTTGATGTGCAAAAACTTTTTAATAAGATACGATCTGAGTTGTTGATTCTTTGAAGTATTTCTCGTGCAGTTTGGTTTTGGTCCATGAACTCTCTGCCTAACCCTATGTCTTCAAGATTTCCACCTACTTTCTCTTCCATTAGATCTAGTGCTTCTTTGGGGCTGGGGATTTAGCTCAGCAGCACAGTGTCTGCCTGGCAAGCGCGAGGTCATGAGTTCGATTCCTGGTACCAGAAAACAAAACAAAACAAAAAGAGATCTTGTGCTTCTGTTTTAATATTTAGATATTTGATCCATTTTAACTTTAGTGCATAGTGATAGACATGGGTCTAGTTTTAGTCTTCAGCATGTGCAGAGCCAGTTTGTCCAGCACCATTTATCAAAGAGGCTATCTTTCTTGTAATAGCTAAATCTTGGAAACAACTCAAATGCCCATCAACCAAGGAATGGATAATGAAGATAACAATATGCAATATAAAAACCATTGTCAATTTCCTATCATCTTGTTTTGAAACTCTGTATCTTTTTATTGCTTTTTTATTCTCTTTAAAATAAATTTTTTAAAAAAGATGTGGTATTTTTAAACATTGGCGTACTACTCAGCTATAAAGAAAGATAAACTTGAGGCTTTTATAGGTACACAGGTGCAACTAGAGACCAAACTCATAAGCAAAATAAATCAGACTCACATGTGTAAACATTGCATTGTCTCTCTAGTACAGGAAGCTGAAAGAGTAAATAAGATCCAAAAGGTGCAATAGACATGGTCAAAGGAAAAGAAACTGCTTAAAAGGAAAGAACAACTGGGATGGGGGAAAGGAGAAAAAAAGGAAGGGGAGAAAAAATATACATATATATACACACAAGATACATAAGACAATTATATTACTAATTTGTATTAGTTCATTGAAAAGAACAGTGTTTATATTGTTTAACCAATCTTACATGCCTATATCTGGTAATCTGAGCAACTACTTTGAAGATAACAACATGCCATATAATAACCATTGTTAATTTCCTGTCACCTTGTTTTGAAATTCTGTATTGTTTTTGGTTTTTTTCTTTTTTCTCTTTAAAATAAAAATAAACATTAATATGCGTGCAAAAGAAAATTACAGCGCTAGACTCTAATGGAAACAGAATACAACATCAGTCTCTAATGCATAATTTGCCTTTTTTTCCTCAAGTGTGCTGCAGTGAAATTTCTGACGAGGTCTCTTGAACAAAAAAAAAAAAATGCTTTGCATTTTTAATAGCCATAAATAGTCAGAAAACTTTCTTATCTCTGAAATCAGCTGTAAAACAAGGAGACTTTAAAATAGGATTGCCAACTCCCCAGGATCCTATAGGAATCACTCTATGTCTACTGTACTTCATGTGAAGTTAATTTTAAAATAGCATAGGACAGTGGTGGCGAACCTATGGCACGCATGCAGCCGCAGGCTGTCTGCACCACCGAAAGCTCTAAAAGGTTCACCATCACTGCCCTAGGGATTGCAGAAGCCTACCAACAAGGGGTGGTAGCCAAGACTGAGAGAGCCTCAGAGTGGTTATTAAAAAAGATAATAATAACCAAGAGGAAATATTCAATCTAAGCTTGTGCAATGGAAAAATGTTCTCAGGGATTATTGCTTTGCTTTGCTTCCTTAACTGCAGGTCTTCAGTTGACTGCAGCTGTTAAGGGCTGAGCTATGGGCACTGCTTTTGCAAAGGGGACAATGGCAGCCCAAGGAGATAGCCTTCACTCAGATTCACCCAACCAGAGAGTGGTCCAGACCTCAACCAAAGCTTGGCCACAAGAACCGACAGGCCACAAGACTGGCTGCAAGGATCACACTGTGGCTGATAGATATTCTACCACTCTTCCTGACTTGACCTTTCTAAGCTACATTCTTCTGTGTCTCATCCTCCTCACCACACAGTTTGTTAACAGGTAGCAGCAACCCATCCTCCTAAAATGTGCCCTGAGCTGTTTGTAAAGCACAGCTCACGAGTCAGAAGGGGTGGGAGCAAGCATTTCATGCCTGTAATCTAACTGAGCTCCGGTAACAATAATAACAATAAAAAGGTATCAGCATTTGCTCTTCCCTTTTATAGAGATTGCACAGGAATGTAACTTTCAGGACCTGGGATATAGCTCAGCAGCACAGCGCCTGCCTGGCAAGCGCAAGGTCGTGAGTTCGACTCTTGGTACCAAAAATAGATAAATGAATAAAGTGCATGCAATGTTATCTTTAAAAAAGGAAAAAAAAAAAGAAATATAACTTTCCTTTCCCTACTGAAAATAAGACTGATCACTGAAACAAATCTAAGAAGGGTTTAACACAAATTCATTGTCTGGCTTTTCTAACATCTCCTCCACCAAAGTGTGTTTATTCCGCTTTCAGCACATAGTTTGTGTAGAGCAAACAATGGTCTGTTTTAGGTCCTTGCCACCTGTACCAGAAATGTCACTTGTGATTAGCCTAGAATATTAGTTACCACAACTAGAAATACTGCTTAAAGCAATGCTTCGGGGCTTTTATTCTCATTCCTGTTTTCATTGACAGAGCAAATGATGAACTGTGAATGTTGAGGTCATAGAACTCAAACAAATACTGCTTCCTGTTATGTTTTGGTTCCATACAAGTGAAACCCAAAAGGAGAAAAGAAGTGATTCTTGCTTCCCTGGTCCCCCACGGAGAAGTCAATCCTAGGTATCTTATCTAAAAACGCTAAATTTCAAAGCATTTACATTGCCCTCATGACTGAAATCTCTTGAAGCAGGCTTTCTTTTCTATTACATTAGTAAACTGTGACTCCCAGGATCTTTTAAATTGGAAGCTATAAATTTTATAAACATAATTTGGTCTATATAGTGATAGGTTTATCAGCATGGAAAAACTTTCTTATATTACTTCTAACAATGTATGAAGACTGCAGCCCTCCCAACTCTTTTGCATAAGTCCGATTCCTATCACATATGTCTCAGTGAACCAATTCTTCCAATGCGCTCATTTCATCATAATTTAGGTCTTAAGTTACTTCACTAGTTAAGAGTATGAACATGTGAACACTGCTAATACTCACCATAAGCTCTGGATATGTAGGCCGTTCTTTGGAATTCTTCTTCAAGCTTAAAGGGAAAAAAATGAATCAAATTAAATCTAGAAACCATTTTTCACTCAACTAGGATTTTCATACCTATAAAAGACTGACCATAACCAGCTTTTTAAAAAGTATCGAAAATATAGGCTTCCTATTTTGACCTTCCTCTTCTGTTATGAATTATGTATAAAATCACTCTGGGTATAACTTAATAAGAAAATAAATACGTGTGTATGCACTTACTATCTTTTGATATTTTACCAGGCTATCTTTTCTGATCTACAGGTACTATATTTTCAAACATATGTCTACTTTCCTTCAAGGCAGCTTTTCATCATCCTACCTCCAATGGGAAAGACACTGGCAAGTGTTTCTCATACTACATTTTTTATCTCTCCACTGTCTTCAATTACTTAGTTCTCTTTGCTTCTAGTTCTCTTGAATGTATCATTTACTTTTGTATATTCCTCACCAAACCTTCCTGAGATAGAAGCAATAAACCCAGGAAGTTTCTAAGGTAACACTATTTGTTTACCACATTTTAGTGATAAAAGAGGAAGCATACCCAATTAGCAACTTAGCTATTACTCTCCCTGGAAATGCTTTGTGGTCATGCCCTCCTTCCAGGTCCACTCTGGTCACTTAGCTCTGTGTTTACACATAAATTTGATAGCATTTGATACCACAGGAAAAAGTAAGATAACCTGCGAGGTAAAGAGACCAAACCCTGATGCCCATCATCAACCCACCCCTATCCATCCCAGCCTTAAAATGGAAAAAGAGAAAGAAAGAAATCATTTCCTTAGAGTTGGAATCAGAGATGATACAATGGAGAAAAAGATGATGTTTTTAAACTATGATTTGAAAGGCAACAAACAGTCTCCAGTACCACCGGGCCAAAAATTATACATGAACGGAAAGGAATTTTGCCTGGAGTTGCAGGACCCAAAGCATGACTGATAATTAGGTTGCTGGGATTTATGCTAATGGGTCCTTTTGAGCAAATGAGACTTACTATGTGTGACATGAACTCTGTTCCCCCTGCATAAGCTGATCAGAATGAGGTGGGGCAAAGTGTTGAGCCATTAGAGAGAGAAGTCACTGTGATATTTTGAGAAACTATGGTTTAAAACAAAACGAAATGGGAAAGAGAAGAGAAAAAGAAAGAGTTTGAACAAAAACAACTTAAAAGCAGCCTACCAGTTTATTCCAGGTAATGCTGTGGGTAGAAACCAAGGAACCTGAGACAGGGTGACAGGTAGATGTGAGGACAGAAGTCTCAACCTGGAATTGAGGGCAGACCTAGGACCTAGGGACCTCAGTGAGCAGACAACCTATGAGAGAAAGTGTCATCTCAACTGAGGGTAAAAATAAGAGCGCATTAGAGAGAAGAATTACCAAGTGTCAAAGTCAGCTTGATATGGGAATGTGTGCCTACGTGAAATGAATGAGATCTTGTAATTCCCATGTACGGCTCTGCGTGTACCCGCATCCTGGTGCTCAGTTGAAGGTTTTCCCCCAGAGGACATCGGGCAATACCTGGAGGGATTCAGGGTTGTATGACTGGTGACAGGTGTTCCTGCTATCCAAGATGTACTGGTAGAGACCAGGGATTTGGCTAACTAAGCATCCTGTTAGGCAGATGGTGGCCCTCCCCAGCAAAAAACAACTTAATCTCAAATGTCATTAGTGCAGAGGGTAAAGAACCCTAGGGTGTGTTCCTAGGATGTCCTTCCATGTTCCCAACTCCTAGCCCCTTCTCTGCAATGGGATTCACTCAAAAGAAAAGCTGCTTCCCCTGTTACCTGGGTACATCCTCATCACTATATCTCCTCCCTCCCCTCTCCTTCCTCCTCTGTATGTCTAGCCCTAGAATCAAGAGTTTTCCTCAGTCCAGGAGCTGGTTGACCTAGCAAGAAACACAGAGAAAGAAATGCGCCCCTTGAGCACTGCTGATTTGCATATCGAGCCTAGCGTCAGTGTCAATAAATATACAAGGAATGTGCAAGAACCCTACATTTCCAGCTATTGCTCAGAGTAAATCAAAACCCAGAAAATCTTCACCAGTTGAGCAAGTTAACTTGCTAAAACAGTAACAAGGAGCACAAAGAAACATTAAATCCGCATTCAGTATTCAAGGGGTTGACTGTGGACGCTTTTATCTAGACAACCGCGCTGAATGTAAAACATGCTCACTGCGCAGCTCAACACTCTTCTCCACTGACATCAAAATGGAGGGAATGATCAGCCGGCAAAGAAAAAGCTTAGTCTCAAATGTTAAAACCAGGGCCTCGTTTACCAACCAGGGGTCTTTATGACACTGAGGACGTTTCACTTTGTATTCAGAACATAACAAAAGGACACTTTCCAGCAGGCAGAAGGGTTTGAAGGCTTCCATTCCTAAGTAGAAGTAATTCTTCCCTGCAGAGTATCTTATCTTTTCACAGTTTACAAAAAATGTTTCCAGAATGTTTCTTTCTCTTAAATCTGTATTTTAAAAACAGGGTGAAAATACCCAAGTTCATCCATAATGAAATGGTTAAGATTCTGGAAACTTCAGAGACTGTGAGTAAATAGGCTACTTCTTGACTTACGGCCTCTTGGGAGAAAGCTCAAAGTTCACCCCAAGCTCTGCTACTGGGTATTGATGAAAAATATTTACACAGCCAAGCAAAGCTGTTTATTGAAGTAATATAATGGATATAATGGATACAAGAACACTTCAAAACATGTGCTAAGACAAGCAAAATACCCAGGATAAGGTTGGAGGAGGGGAAAAAAAAGCAAATTTTCCATGTTTAATAGGAAGTGCCTGAAATTCAGTATGAAATAACAACTGCAGAGTTCAAAGCAACACCAATTTTTTTCTGGCTTTAAGTCAGACTTTTGAATTTTCAAGTGGCTTTCCATTTTCAAGTGTGCAATTAGCTAACTGCCCTAAATCCACTTCCAAATGCCACAACACACGCTTCTGACCGTAGCTGACACTAAAAAACAGCTCCATGCTGTCTTGAGAATTGCTAGCTTCAAGCTCGTGCTGACCAGGGGATTTCTGCCTGTTTGAATTCCCCCTGATGGTTTCCAAGAAGGGCTGTTTGTTACATCCACAGAATGTATGGCCTCTCAAGCCATACATTTGTCAAAAGATAAATATATATCCAGTGCCTTTTTTTTTACTGTCCTTCGTGAACAAATAGGAGGCCTTATTGGACTGTCTCTGTTTTATACTAGTTTCTTGGAGTCAGACAGAATCGACATCTGGATGGGATGCCAACACATCCTCCTGTGCCAGCAGGCTGGTCAGCCGGGCACTCAGTCTCTGGATTAGGCCTGGAGGAAAAGCAAAAACAGGTCTGGCTATTTTAACAGTGGGCAGTTGATTTCCAGTGACTTCCTTTTGTTAACCTATACGAAGAAGTATGAGCTTGCCGAGATTCCATTATCTTTTTTAATGAACTCATAACTCTTCTCAGAACTATCGGGCTTTTCTATGAGGCTTCTACTATGATAAAGCCACAAACGAGGCCTCTATGGTCAAACTGACCCATGTTAGGAACTTTAAAATCTCTGTGTTAAGAAAACTACATGGGGGGGAGAAAGAAGAAAAATAATCACTCCCTAGTCTTATTTAGAAATGAGTACAGAAAGAATGGGTTTGTAAAGCGTCATTGCTTGTTTTTTCTTCAAGTTCATAAGGATAAACACATGGACTTCCCTTTCTTGTTTTTCCAAGATGATGTTTCTCTGACATTACTGCAAAAGAAATGGAAGTCTGAGCTCCAAAGTTAATCTTGGTTGTGAGATACTGATGATGTTTGTTTGTTTGTTTGGTACCAGGAATTGAACTCAGGACCTTATGCTTGTCAGGAGGCGCTTATGCCACTGAGCTATATCCCCAACCCTTGTTTGTAAGGGCTTTATATCATGACTTCTTGTCACCCAAGAGAAAGCAATCAGTGCTGAGAGGCCAGAGGACAGTGACTCCCAAGTGACTCACCCCCACCCCGGGGTTGCTGCGTGCAGTACTTAGCAGGACTACAACACCACTGCTTGTAGAGGATGCATCCCACAGAGGGGCACAAATACTCTGGCAGCTTCCCGAGGCTGTGAGCAGTGAGCCCTTTTTCTACACTTAGGCTAAAGACAGATTAGGCGATAAATACACAGGTGTATGCACCTTAAAATTTGATATTCAATATGTCACTTTCCAAAACTGTAGCTCCCTTTCCACACTTACCATGAAGAGCTGGGATGTTGTGAAAATTCTTGAAAGATCCTAGCCTATGTTATAAAAGTATAACACAGCAATCCCTCAAAGGGGGCTCTGCATAAAAATGTGCCTCAACATTATCATTTTATATGAGGTGTGATCAATACATACCAGGAATGTTTAAATTTTTTAAAATGTATGACAGTGAAAGACACATGGCCATTCATTCCCCTCGAAACACTCACCGACATGGATCCAATCATTTTTGCCACTTTCTGAAGCAGGGGTGGAAGTCCTCTTTTATGAATGTTTTTAGAGGTGTGATCAAAAATACGGTGAATGCTGCTGCCAAGTGTGATAAAGGAAGGCCAGGCTGGCACAAACATTATATGGTGTCCTTCCCCACGTTATTCACCAGATGTGGCACTATGTGATTTCTGTCTCTTCCCTAAAGTCAAAATGACCACGAAAGTTAAAGGTTTTGAATCAGTTCAGCATACCAGAGAAGCCATGACAGCACAGGTAAAGACGGGAAGGAGGACTCCAGAATTGCTTCTGAAAGTGCCAAGAACAATGGGATGAATGTTCGAGGTGAGGGGAGTATTTTCAGGGGCATTCTTTGCAATGTGTCTTTCACTGTAATAAATTTTTTCACATTCACCCTATATTTGGGACACACCTCAAAAAGGGATATGGAAAAATAGCCAATAACAAGTTATGTGTTTTGCTATATGCTACTTTTCATCCATAAACAAGCATTCTTTGGCAACGATCACTTTTTCATTCTTTTCAATCTACTCCAGACCAAATTTAAAATTTTCAATAGTAAAACAAGGGGCATAATTAGACTGCTATTGAGTGGGGAGGTGGGTCTCCGTATGTTACTATACATGAAAAACGAAACTGTATCCATAAAGACTCAAATCAGTAATAAGATCTAAAAACAAAATAAATAAAAGTGCAATCGTCAACCCAGTTGGCTTCTGAATAATTTAGTGTGCACCCCTCGGGGGCATCAGGGAAAATATACTGGTGTTACGGCGGGCAAAAAATGATCTGGCACCTGAGGCAAGGGAGGCTGCGAGCACTCACAGAATTCCAGGGTGATCTTTCTCTGCTATTTTCCAATTCCCAAACCAACAAAAGTGACTCACTATTCTACAGAATGGATATTCTCAAGTATCAGATTCTACCAGACAGAGTTACAACACGGAAAGTTGGAAGAACAAAAATATATCCTTGTGTGGTGTCTAAATTGAAGTCATTTTTGTTCCTACTGTTATTTTAAACAAACCCTGTAAGCAAGACAGATTTCCTGAGCGCAGGAATGACATTGCTTTTCTGTGATGAAATGACATAGAATTAACAGGATTAACAGAAGTCTACAACTACAGAAACTACAACAGGTCCATAGCTCAGAATATTTCAATACGTGAACTACAGTAGCTGGGGCGAAAAGTGAGAAAAAGTGGAGATCTTAGAGGATAGCAGGAAGTTACTGTGGGTATGAACGCAGGAGGGTAGGCATAGTGTGGTCTCTATAGAAAGAGTGATTCCACCAGAATTTGGGGAATTTCCACACATAATGCATACATTAAAAGGAGATAGGCCAGGTATGGTAATGCACACCCATCATCCCAGCACTCAGGAGGCCGAGGCAGGAGGATCACTGTGAGTTTGAGGCCAGCCTGGGCTACAAAGTGAGTTCAAGGCTGCCTGAACTACATAGTGAAACCCTGTCTCAAAAAAAAAAAGAAAGAAAAGAACTTGGGGGTAAGCAGGCAATGTGTGATCCAGATACCATGATA